ATCGCAGAACTCCCGACACCGCCCATCCTGATGTCACAAAGCTATATGTAAACAGACACGCGTGTTGCGAGGTGCGTGCCTCCGATATCCATTTCGAGACCCTCTAAGCCAAGCAAAAAGCGCGCGGGCAAGACGTCACACACACAGCTACGTTTAATGGCTAAAACAATCGAGTAGCGCGGTTAGGGATTTTCGGAATTATTTAATTTTAAGAAAAACTATAATGTTCAATGAATGGCGCACTCGTTCACTTCCGAAAGCGGGTAAAAATGCCTAATTTTTCCACTTTGGTGCGAAATGCATCGGCCGGGCTTCATCATGTCTTTATCGATGTCATCCAGTATCCACATGACTCAAACCTAACAATAAACCTGATTCTGAAAGTACTTGTCACCAATAAGGACAAACTGAGAGGTAGACTCCACATACAGATGGACATACATCACGTGAAAACAAAAATAGATATGTGATCAGTATGACATTCTTGCTGGTTGAACTCAACGTATTCAAAGAAGTATGTTTAAAGTATATTATACATTTGTGTGCGTGTGTGTGCGTGCACATCTTTGCTATCAACTGCAAGAAAAATATACAGTACGAAGATGTAGGAGGTTTATATGTGCTTTTATAGTACGTACTGTAAATTACGTTTCAGTTCTCACTTTTGCCACTTAATTCCAGCAAGTTCAGCAACTTATCATACACAATATTCTCGCGGTAATAAACAAATATGCTTTTAAATTCAATTAGTTTTTTATGCGCGCTGTTTATCGTTTCCATAGCAAGCATTTTTAACGTTGATCTTGTGACTGCGTGGTGCAAGGAAACAGTCTGTTTTAGCAGAAAGTTAGCAGTCGCGCAATGTTATCAGGGCTGCTATAATGCAGCCCTCATAAAAACCAGTTGGTAGTCTGCATACGCAGAAATAACGTACACTGCGAATAAACAGATGGATACGGAATTACAATCCATCGACATGACATCCAAGCAATGACGTGTAGTAGGCGACGAGGCGTAGTTACGCGTTTAAGGTAGCGCCAAGCCTATGGCTGCTACACTGTATAATTAGAGTACATTCTCGCAATCATGACACCTACTCACGAGTCATGTAGTTTTATTACCTCCAGCTTAAAAACTTACAGGTTAAAATGATTTCATGATGACCAACATAGAATGGATTCAGCAGAGTTGCATGTCTGGCTGCAACGAGATTGAAGCGGGAATGACACGCGCGCTTGTCAGGTGTTAACACGTCACAAATCTGAACTATAGTTGCGAGAGCGTGAGCTGTTTCCTATCGCGCAGCATGAATGAGGAATTAATTAGATAAATATAAATGTCCTATATTTGTATATTACTTACATGCATGTACGTTTACGTCGGAATGATTGAATTCATTCACTAGAGCTTTCACACCGCAGATTGTCAATTTGGATTTATTTAAAAAAATGGTGTTTTCGTTTTTTGATACTTGTCTCCTAAAATTTATGTAAATATTTTTAAGAAATTAATGAATGAGAAAATAAATAAAATAAAATGAATAAATAAATAAGTAAATAAGTTGAAAACAAATTAAAATAAGTAAATAAATAAACAAGTGAATGAACAACCTGAAAAGGAGCTTAATTTCATCCATTGAATAATACATCCGTCTGATAACGTGTGGACGATACGGAACCAAAATAAATAAATAAATATTAAATGGAATCATTACATCTGTAATGAATATGTCCTTAGCAGAGCGGGCGTTGAAGACATCGAGTTGAAGCTAGTTAGAAGTCGTCTGCGTTTGTTTGGCCACACGGACGAATCCCTCTGCGGGACCAGGAGTTCCGCTCAAATGTATACACTTTTTTAACCCAATTTCGAATTCCAAATACCGGTGGTGGTTAAAAAAAAAAAATTGCAAAATAAATCGAATGAAATGTATCGATTGCTTCGCAGCATTGTGCAGCACACATTCATTCACAGTGCAGTGGCCATATTATTATTTTAGTGGGTGGATACAAACACGTACACACACAAGTCCAGCTCTGGATGACAAATTCTGCATAATTAAAACAAAGGTCAACAGATTGCAGACAGTAACGAACAAACCACACCAGGCGTGGGTAGGACACGTTGTCAACAGTTAATTATCGAAATGTCCGATTATGAGACTCCGCACAAACATGAGTGTCAGATGTGAGAGTTTTCACACTGCCAGATTAGTACAAAATAAACAAGTCCTGAAACACCCCTAATTGTTTACGCTTTTAATAACAATAAAAACTAGTTTCAAGAAACTCATTAAGACTCATTAATTACAAAGTAATTATCCAGAGAGACATGATACAAAATTGCGTGGCACAGCTTTGCTGTTGATTATGAGCGCTGCGCGCGGATGAGACGCGCAGTTCCGCGGGATATGCGCACGCGACCGCGGAGATGTTCAAGTATGAAGTGCTGTCCGCAGTGGAGACGTGCGCCAAATTCGAGGCCCGGCGCACGTCTCCACAGCGGTCAGCAGATGATCTGTAGTTTTAGAAGATAACAATGAAGACTTTGTTCTAAATAAGAACTATCGGCGGCTAAATAATAGCAATATACAGACCTTTGAATTTCTTGACTAGCTAGTCAAAGGGCTTGTTGGGGGTCCATTATGCAGAGCTTCCAATTTAAATGGCCCATGAAATTGTCAAGTGGAATTGTGTTTTTCGAAACCCCAAAGAAAATGTCTCCTTCTTACATGCACCCCTCCTTGATAAATCACGCATTCAGGCGTAAACAATAACAGAGATAAAATTGTGTTGAATTTATGGCTCTTGACGCAAGTGCATTGACGTACAAGACTGATGAAAGCACAGGCACTTTGAACGTCTCAATAAAAATAAATCATCACACTATTTTTCACAATGATCGACCGCCTGTGTGCAAAATAGGTGAACGTATGTGAAACATATACGGTTAGTACTTACTGTGACATATCCGTGACTAATTGACACCACTAAATTGGTAAAATGTTCCATGCACCTTAAGAAATGCT